ATAGATAAGGCCATGTACATAGTTTGTTTTGGTGTCCCCTGGTTGGAGCAGTCTTGACCAACTTAAGATGAAAATTATTAGGATCTTGGGTTATTTCCCCATAATTTAAAATAATTGTCTCTTTACTAAATATTAATGCAGGTTCTCATAATGTTTGAAGATGAATTTGTTGGCTATTCTCTCTTAGAATCTTTTTAAAAAACTAATATCATCCAAGACTTGTTACAGAGTAAAGCCACTTCTGTTAGCATCCTTTTTTTTTTGTTATTAATCTTCAACCAAAGATATTTTCCATTGATTTTTAGAGAGAATAAAAGGGAGGAGGAGAAACAGAGTGAAACATATATGTGAGAGAGACACATCGATTGATTGCCTCTAGCAGGCGCCCACCTGGGGGCCAGGAATTGAGCCTGCAACTGAGGTATTTGCCCTTGAGTGGAATTGAACCCAAGATCCTTCAGTCCAGAGGCTGATGCTAGCCACTGAGTCAACAAGGCTAGAGCTGTTAGCACCCTTTCAGCAGGTTGCTAAGTGAGGAAGTGAGTGGATTCTGGAACCAGTGGAGCTCTTTCAGCTGAGGTCCTAGGTGCTCAGGTAGAGTCAACTGACAAGTGATTTCTGGCACAAAACAGGGGTGTGTGAAGTCTCTCAGGAACAAATGCTGCTGGGGGCTTACTGCCTGCCAGAGACTGAACTTGAGGGTGTTGGATTCACCCTTACATCACCACATTGTATCCTTTTCCTGGCCCTTTTGTAGTTGCATAATGCTGAAGTAACTAGGCAGGTTTCTCAGCAAGGGGAGAAGGAGGCTGAGTGTAAGGGCTGTGGAGCTGCCAGTGTGGGGCTGTGGGCTCACTCCCAGATACGCCCTCTCAGGCCACATGTCTCTCCCCTGAAAAGCAGGCTTAGCTATGGCACTTCAGTGCATGCAGAACATGGACAAGGTCCTGATATGATAAGGATCCCATCCATTTTGGCAATTATTGTTGCACCTGCGCTGCAGGCTACGGTACGTGCAGATGTGAAATGTAAGCAAAGCCAGACACTGGTTAAAGTGGTAAGGGCAGATTTTAATCAGTAATAAATATTGCCACAGGGAAAAGAGTTCAACATAAACTGAATTCAACTTCTGTTTGTACAGAGGTGAGGAGGAGTTTTAAACAGAGAGGAAGGAGGCGATAGGGGCCCTATAGACTCAGGGAAGGAAAAAGCTATATAAAGTGGGAAGGGGGGATTGGTCCAAGTGAAAACCACCTGAGTTTGCTAACTGGCACTTATGGAAATTACTTCCCCTCCCCTGCCCCCTCCAACAGAGACTCAGAGACAGGGGTCCTATCCACAGGTGTCAGCTGGAATAAACAGGACATTTTTTTTGGCAGCCTTAAGCATTCTCCTGGAGACACTTTAAGCGGGGGTTGGGTCATCCTAAGAATGTGACTGTAAGCTGTTAGAAAATATGTCAGTGTTTATTCCGATCTTTATAGGCCAAGATTGAGGCCCATTGAGAGGAGGGCTCAGAGTGTCCTGGCCAGAGTTGGGTCAAGGACAGAGTCTTCATCACAGAGAGACAGAGAACTCCCCCTTATCCCTGAAGAGCATGGTCCTGGATTGGGAACATGACCTGCATTGATGTTAACACCGGAAGTGGCCAATGAGTACCCAGTGGTGACCCTGTCATTGGGGTTTCTAGGACAGAAGGCTGGAGGGTGTGAGGTGTAGGTGAGCCTTGAAAGATGCTGGAATTTGGAATAAGTGAGGGGGTCAAAGTGCTGGAGAGGAAAAGAGGTGGAAGGAGGGGAGGTGCTCTTCTAAGAACAATAAGTAGATCAACTTATTTCATTGTTGGTGCTGAGGATGGAAAGATGGGGGCATCAACAATGAGGCTGAGGGCTCTGGCTCATCCTAGAAACAGTGGAGACTGGCAAAAGCTTTTGAGTAAGGAAGTGAGGTGAAGAAAGCAGGATTTTAAACAGATTAGTGATGGTGGATGGAATGGATGAGTTTATTCTGACAGTGGCCAAGGGGCAACTAGTGCAATAATTCAAGCTTTTGTAGTGACAGCCTCTTCCATGCATTAACCATTGTCCTACAACTGTTCTTATTGACCCTTGCTACCTAAGTAATAATGGTGTTAATGATAATAACCTGTTTTTATTATTATTTGATCATTTACTGTTTTTATGACAGGTGAAAAAACTGTGACATAGGTTAAGGGACTTGCCCAAGGTTACAGCTACTAAATCCAGACTCAGGCATTCTAGCTTCCCAGCCCAGGCTGTGACCACTACACTGTATGGTTTATTCTCCAATCTTTTCAAAAGCACTCCATAAGCTTTGACACATTTATTGTGGGGCCTTAGTGCATCCCAGCCAAAGGTGACATACACACAAAAATAGATGGGCAGGAGGTCAAGAACTACTTTTAAAAAATGAGTGCAGAGCTAAAATAGTTATATATATATAGATAGATTTCAGAGAGGAAGGAAGAGGGAGGGAGATAGAAATATCAATGATGAGAGAGAATCATTGATCAGCTGCCCCCTGCACACCCCCCACTGGGGATTGAGCCCACAACTCAGGCATGTGCCCTTGACCGGAATCAAAGCTGGGACCCTTCACAGTCCGCAGGCGGAGGCTCTCTCCATCGAGCCAAACCGGCTAGAGCTAAAATAGTTTTGGAAATGGTCATGTCTGTCCTAAAAACACAGTTGGTGTTTGTTTCTGGTTCCCTATTTCCCACTCACCACTAGAGAATCTTTCTGATGCCCTGGCATGTGGAAGGAGCCTGTTGGGTGACATTAGACCCAGGTTGGTAGTATAACAAGCAAATATCCTGGTTGCCTGGATAAGGACCCTCTGCTGTCTCTCCTTCCAGGAAGTGTTGACAAGAGATTGTATTTTTTCTTCTTGTGCCGTGGTCTGTTTGCTGGCTCTCCCCTAAGCTCTCAGGTTTTATAGGGCAGAAATCTAGTTTTTCAAATATATGTTTCTTCCATCAAGATGCTTATTATTGATGAAAACCCATCATTATTCCAAAAGTTAAGCCTGTGTTCACAAGAGGGAAAGGTTTCATTCCGTGAGAAGGGTGGAGACTTTGATCTGAGTGCACAGGGTGGCCCATTTTACAGCATTTAGACTGGGGGGTGGGGCTGTGGCAGGATTCGGGGGGAGGGGGGTCTTTTCCAACAAGGGTTGGAGGAGCTGTGGCAGGGCTAGCCGGATGACCCACAGTGTTGATCTGTTGTCCTTGAGCCAAAGTCTCTCCTATCAATGGCTTGTGCTTCTTGCTGCCAGTTTTCAAAAGGAATGCTTATTTAAAGGAAGATTTTTGAAGTGCCTCCTTGGCTGAGTGTAGCATGTGATGGCTGGGTCCAGATCAGCTGACCTGAGTTCTTAGCATAGCTCTGCTGCCACCTATTTCTATGGTCTCAGGCAAAGCATTCCATCATCCCCATGAGCCTTGCTCTCCTCCATCTGAGGAGTGACTATGGTGCCCTCCTCCTGCGGTTGCCATGATAATCTGGATAAAGAAAGCGCCTGAGCTTTATATACATACTAATCACTCCATAGGTGGAACTACTATTAATATAAAAGAGAGCATAAAGAAGATAAAGTGGGCTGAAACCGGTTTGGTTCAGTGGATAGATCGTCAGCCTGCGGACTGAAGGGTCCCGGGTTCTATTTCGGTCAAGGGCATATAGTACTTTGGTTGCGGGCACATCCCCGGTGGGGGGTGTGCAAGAGGCAGCTGATCCATGACTCTCATCGATGTTTCTAGCTCTCTATCTTTCTCCCTTCCTCTCTGTAAAAAAATCAATTATATATATATATATATATATATATATATATATATATATATATATATAAAAGATAAAGTGGGCTAATGAAGATGCCATAGTAAAGAAATGAACGGGAGGAGGTTAGTAGCTAAATGAGATATATACAAAAATATAATGCAAATGTGTATATTTTTAACAAGAAAAGTATCAGGATAAAAGTATAAGAACATCTTCAAGAGTAAAATAGAACACTAAATATAACTAAGAATGTACTAAAAAAAAAAAAAAAAGACTGTTAAATATGGCAGCAAAATGGGTCCAAGGCTAGCATCATTATACTGCCATAAATCTGGTTCTTGGGTTCTCTCTCCACCACGCACACACATACACACACACACACACATTGGTTGTCAAGGTCACTGTAGATTCTACAGCAGCAGTTGTCAATCTGTGGGTTGGGACCCACAGCTTGAGAACAGCTAGCAGGGTCACCTAAGACCATTGGAAAACACAGATATTTACATTATGATTCATAACAGTAGCAAAACTACAGTTATGAAGTAGCAACAAAAACAATTTTATGGTTGGGGGTCACTACAACATGAGGAACTGTTTTAAAGGATCATGGAATTAAAAAGGTTGAGAACCACCACTGTAGAGGGTCCTGAAAATGGATGGTGAGCAGAACTTCATTGCCTTTAAAGTCAGTGTTTCCCCCTGCATGTGAAGTGTCAAGATATCGCAGGAATTCTTTTGGGGGGAGGAAGAGGATTCTGGGGACAATGGCACAGAAGCAGTGTTCTTTGGAGCACATTTGGGCAATGCTTTCCCCAGCATCTTGTTCTTTGGCTCATGCCAAGCTGCTCTACCTTTCACAACCGAACATGCCGAGTGTGTTCCCTCTGCCAGCAAGTTTTCATCCCCGGTCTCCTCATAGCTTCCTCTCCTTCTCCTCATTCAGGTCCCAACTCTGACATCCCTCCTCAGAGAGGTAGGTCTTCCCTGATCACTCGACCCCATCACTCTCTATCCCAGAGCACTGTCATTGTTGAAATGTGTGAAGTGATGTGTTTGTTACATTTTCACCATTTGTTTCTCCTATTAGAGTGGAAACTCGTTTCACCAGCATGTTGTTGTACTCCTGGCATTTAGAACAAGGCCTGGCACAGAGGTGCTCCTTTTAAAGAAAGAACACTGAACTAAAGTCTTTCTGTTAAACAGGGTGGAAGATCATGACGATCTCATGCCAATATTTATGCAACATGACACAATTCTGAGAGCAACGTATGGCGAATACTTTCTGGCTGAACTAATAGAGGCCCAAGACAAGGAGAATCATGCTGTCGTGTGTGAGGTTGGTGATTAACCCCCTAGGGATAAGCGTTGTCCTGGTGCCCGCCAGCCCAGCACTGTCCCCACTGCACCCAGGGGCTTCATGACCTCTCAGGTTGTCTTCCCCACTTTGTACTATCCTTGCCCTGTGACCCCCATCACTTGGGATATGCCCTACAAGTGTCCTGATTCTGCCACTTTATGCCTGCTAGGATGGTTATAATAAAAGAGGACAGTAACAAGTGTGGATAAAGATGTGGAGATATTGTAACCCTCATATGTTGCTGGTGGGATTATGAAATGGTATAGCCCAATGGTCGGCAAACTCATTAGTCAACAGAGCCAAATATCAACAGTACAACGATTGAAATTTCTTTTGAGAGTCAAATTTTTTAAATTTAAACTTCTGGAATCTTACCTGAGGCCTGAAAAAACCACAGAGTGTTCTGTATATTTCTGTTAGGTTCATTTGATCTAAAGTATCAATCTAGCCCGTTTCCTTGTTGATTTTCTATCTGGATGTTCTATCCAATGTTTGGGGTATTAAAGTTTCCTACTATTCTTGTATTGTTGTCTATTTTTTCCTTCATATCTTTTAGTATTTGCTTAATATATTTAAGTAGCCAGATACACACACACACACACACACACACACAAACATATATATATATATATATATACATATATATATAGATATATATAGATATATATATAAACACATATATATGTGCTTATATTTATATTTATGATTGTTATATCTTATCGATGAATTGAACCCTTTATAATTATATAATGACCTTCTTTGTTTCTTGTTACCATGTTTGGCTTAGTGTCTATTTTGTCTGATACACTTGCATGGAACATCCTCCCTCCTCCATGGCGCCCCCCCCCTCCACTTTAGCATTAGTGCTAAGTGAGTCTCTTGTAGGCAGCTGTAGTTGGGTCTTGCTTTCTTATTCATCCAGCCACTCTATATCTTTTGATTGGAGATTATAATCCATTTACATTCAGAGTAATTATTGATAGGTAAGAAGTTATTGTTTTCTTTTTTTTGTAGTACCCTATTCATTTAATTATCTCTTTCTGCCTTCTTTTGTTAATTATTGATTTTCTGTAGTGGTATGCTTATATTCTTTTTTGTTTATTTTTTGGGGATCTACTGCAGGCTTTTGCTTCTTACAATAAGGCTTACATAAAATTTTATACATGTAGTATAATCCATTTACATTTAGAGTAATTATTGATTACTTTAGGTTTACATAAAATTTTATACATGTAGTAGCCTATTTTATGCTGATAACAACTTAACTTTGATCATATACAAAAATTTTAACCTTTTGTTTCAATGTCACTATTTACCTTTTTAAATATTGTGTATTTATTAATAAATTATAGCTATTTTTATTTTTAATACTTTTGGACTTTAACCTTTATAATAGAGTTAAGTTTCAACATTCCACCATATTACAGTATTAGAGAATTCTGAATTTGACTATATACTTACCTTTGTCAGTGTGTTGTATATTTTCATATGTTCTCATGGTACTGATTAGTGTCCTTTCATTTCAGTTTAAAGAAGTCCTTTCAGTATTTCTTGTATGGTGATCTAGTGGTGATGAACTCCCTCAGCTTTTGTTTTTTTGGGAAAGTCTTTATCTACCTTTCATTTTGGAAGAATAGCTTTGTTGGGTAAAATGTTCTTGGTTGGCAGGGTTTTGTTCCAGCACTTTGAATATATCATTCATGCTCTCTTGCCCTGTACGGTTTCTGCTAAGATAGCCTCATAATAAATTGCAGCTTCTTGTCTCTTGCTCCTTTCAAGATTCTCTACTTGTCTTTTATTTTTGACAGTTTTATTAAATGTGACTTGGAGGGGACCTTTTGAAGTTTACTTTGGTGACTTAGGACTTTTATGAACTTTCATATACAAATCTCTCCCTAGATTTGAGATGTTCTTAGCTCTTCTTAAATAAGCTCTTAAAAAATAAGCTTTCTGTCCCCCCATTCCCTCTTTCTCCCTCTGGAAATCCAATGATTGCAAATTGATCTTTTTTTATAATATTCCTAGATCAGTTAGACTTTTTCCTCTCTTTTTCATTCTTCTTTGTTTTTCTATGACTGGATAATTTCCAAGATCCTGTCTTTGATCTCACTGGTTACTTCTTCTGCTTGATCAAGTCTTGTGTTGATGCTCTCTATTGCATTTTGTTTTGTTTCATTCATTGTATTATTCAGAACCAAAATTTCTTTTAAATTTTTTATTTCTGTCTCTTTATTAAACTTCTCAATGTGTGTGTGTGTGTGTGTGTGTGTGTGTGTGTGTGTGTATTGTTTTCCCAATTTTCTTGAACTGTCTTTCTGTTCTTTCATGTAGTTCATTAAGGTCCTTTTAAATAGCTATTTTAGTTCTTGATGTGGTAAGTCAGAGATCTCCATCTCTTTGAATTGGGTTACTATAAGATAATTGTGATCCTTTGATAGTGTCATATTTCCTTGCTTTTTAAATGTTCCTTGCAATTTTGTGTTACTGGCTTCACTTTTGAAGTAGCCCTCATCTCCTTCATAGGTGAAATATCTCCATTATCCCTACAAGGAATTCTGAGGTTTCTTGGATATCCTGTGAATATATCTGCTCCACGTTTCTTGCTTTCTCTTATGGCAGAATTCTTTTTCTTTTTAAAAAAATATATTTTATTGATTTTTCACAGAGAGGAAGAGAGAGGGATAGAGAGTCAGAAACATCGATGAGAGAGAATCATTGATCAGCTGCCTCTTGCACACCCCTACCGGGGATGTGCCCGCAACCAAGGCACATGCCCTTGACCGGAATCGAACCCGGGACCTTTCAGTCCACAGGCCGACGCTCTATCCACTAAGCCAAACTGGTCTTGGCCTTTTATGGCAGAATTCTTAAGCTCATATGTAGTCTCTGAATCTTGAGAAGCAGCAGGCTGAATACTGATAGCCTCTTTTCCCAAAGATGGCACTACAACTCAAGTTTGTGGTCTTTCTCTGGCCCACTGCTTTAAGTGATTTTCTGCATTTGCTCATTAGCCATCTGCCAAAGCCTGCTCATGCTGCTGCTGGAAACATGCAAGAGAGCTAGCCATGGGGGTAGGGTGGTATGTGGGTGAGGCGCAGAGAGCTGGGCGTGCTCATGGGCCAGTTGGGAGGATTCATTGGTGAGACATTACCAGTAGGTCATGGGTGAACTTCTTGGTAGAATTTACAACATATTTATGGTTTGTGTTTCTTTAATGTTCTCCAAGAATTCTATCTGTTGTTTTCCTAGACTCTTTTCACCCACCCCACCCCAGTTTTGGTGCCCCTATTTAGTACACATGAATGGGGTGAAGATAAACGAGTCCCTTAGGAAGCATTCACACAGCTGGGAATGCTGGTACTTGCTCATATGCTATCCCTTTCCCCACCTCAAGAAAGAGCTATCTTGGCACTAATCTGTGTCTCCTTGGTGATGGGTGACATGGTTAATGTCAAACTGTTCCTTTTAGCTACTCTAGTTTGTCTAAATTCAGATTTTTTTTTTCTTCAATGAAGTCCCAGAAGTTCTCTAGAAACATGTCCCTTCACAAAGGCTCTCTCCTCTGCGAGTGATTAAGTCAGTGGCTCCCAGACCACACCAAGAGGTGCTGGAGCCAGCTCATAGGTCACACATGGTCCATAGCCAGGACCGATGACTGTCTGCCTATGTCCTGATGCACAGTAGGCAAGACTCCTTCCAGGTCCTGTTATAAATGGTACTGGATTTCATAGGCACTTTTGTTCAATGATAGATGCTGAATATTTGCTGTTGAATTGGGGAACAAAATGATGGATATCTTTAAGCTGCCTTGATGCTGACATCACTCTGGAGAAGGCTTTTTTTAATTTTTTGCTTCTGCTTCCAAGGTGCTAGCTTCAACCTAAATCATTTGAGTTAGTGCTCCTGAAGAGCAGCTGCAGTGGGAAGACACTCACATTTGTTCTTCCTCTAGTCCACATGTGTCAAACACAAGGCCCGCGGGCCAAATCCGTCCCGCCAGGCCTTGAAATGTGGCCCGCACCGCGCTGTCATCACTGCACTCCGCTGCGTTTCCATCACAATGACAGTTTATGACTGTTCAGTAAACCATTCGGCCCACGATTTAGGCTGGATTTTAGATTTTGGCCCCTTCTCTGATTGAGTTCGACACCCCTACTCTAGTTGTATGTTACACATTTTTATTGTGTGTAACCATCAGATGAAAGTTGTAGGTTTAAAATTGCAATCCCAACCCTGCAAGGACCCTTTGATGTCTCTAGAGAGCCAATCTCCAAGTGGTCGTGCTGCCTCAGACACCAGAAGCTTTGTGTTCTTTGGAGATGAGACCACAGACTCAGTCTCAAATGGAAAGGCAGAAACAATACCCCTCAATAGGGAGGAAACCATTAAAAAAAAAATAAAATAAAATAAAAAAAAAAAAATATATATATATATATATATATATATATATATATATATATTTTTTTATTGATTTTTTACAGAGAGGAAGGGATAGGGACAGAGAGCTAGAAACATTGATGAGAGAGAAACATCAACCAGCTGCCTCCTGCACACCCCCTACTGGGGATGTGTCCACAACCAAGGTACATGCCCTTGACCAGAATCGAACCTGGGACCCTTCAGTCCGCAGACCGATGCTCTATCCACTGAGCCAAACTGGTTTCCGTGGGAGGAAACCATTTTAGGATATGGGAGCAGATCTTCAGTCTGTGCCAAACTGTATCCAGAGAATTAAGCCTTTTCAGGTTCAAAATCATGCTGTCACTGTCCTCCCCACTGTCTCCCTGTGTCATTCTCCCAATACCCTAGACTTCCTCAGGTTGGCCCTTTAGGCAGTGGTATGCTGGAATTAGCTCTCTCTGGCTTACAAGAGCCAATTGGTAAGTCTTCAGTAATTTTGCAAGCTGGTTGTTAAACACAGCCATTATTAAAAATTAAATTTATAAACTTACAGTGTAATAAATTATATTAAAAACAAC